GTTTCTCTGCAATTCCGCACATGGCCTTCGGTGCTACTTTTTCGGCCGGGGAGCTAACGAAATGTTCCGGACGCCGCCAAGAATCGAGCTTGACTATTGCATAAGGGTATGTGATATATGTGTGTATGTAACTGTAATTGTATGTATGTATGTATGTATGTATGTATGTATATATACATGTTATATACATATATAATAATATATATATATATATATGGTATGCTATTTCCAATTATCGGACCCTCTACATTATTCAACGTTGAAACCATCGAAACAGCAGGGCCTCCAACAGCAGTGGTTCCTGATCACTCGCGTCATCCTGCGCAGACGCGGCGGTTGGCGTCCAGGTTACCACAGGGATACACACCATGGAGCTGCGGAGTCCTGCTCAAAGCTCTAAGCCTGAAGCCCAAAACCCCAAACCCTAGCATAAGACATCGTCTTCGAAGTGCCTGACACTAAGTTGTTAAAATCGCCCTGCGGCACTCCTGGACTGGGGCCGGCGGATAGTAGTCATAGTGGTTAAACTCCTTCCGGCCGGCGCAGAGCTGAACATAGCTGAACCGCTACTAAAACTCACTGCTACATGTCCCTCCGCGACATGGCCGGATGACCAGAACTTCTCGGGCTACAACTGGAACATGACACAAGGTGGCCGGTGCCGGCAGGACAGGTTCAGCCTCTGCATCAGCATCTGCAGGATCTAAACCACCGTGGTTTCCTGGCCATTGTATCGTCGTTACCAGTACATTCAGTACATACATGTGCTAGCACATCACATCGGCCGTGTTACTTGTTGAACCGTCTAAACAGCTAACTAGTGAATGAGCGGACGGATGGACTGACTAAGTCATTTATTAGTTAGTTGACTAACAACTGGATTCTTTCACCAATGAACGTACATTCAAAGATTAACTCACTAGCATATTTTCTACTAAGTGCAGTAAGCCAGTCATCTACTCATTATTATGATGAGTTAAGTACTTCCTTTACTTGACTACTAAGTCGAAAACTAACTGAACAAGCGCTTGCTGCAGGCAACAGGCTCGTTATTTCGTCAACTAGTTTATGAGTTACCTGACTGATTCCGTGTTTGAATATCGAATCAATTGGTCAGTGCCTTGGGCTGGCCAACGGATGTATTAAAGCCCGCCAACTACCAAATTAACTAACGAAACATTGAAATCAAAGTTTGATGACTGACCAACTGACTGACCAAGAATAACTAATCCAGTCAGTCAGTTAGTGAGTCAGTCAGCCAGCCAGCCAGGAGAGCCAGGCAGGCAGGCAGCCAGTCAGTCAGCCAGCTAGTCAGCCAGTAAGTTAGTAAGTTAGTTAGCCAGTAAGTTAGTAAGTTAGTAAGTTAAGTAGGTAGGAAGATAGTTGATAGTTAGTTAGTTAAACAATTACAGAGTTCAGTTAGAAAGATAGTTTTCTAGTTAGAAGCTCACTGGCGAGCAGCTCGCTGGCTATAGATTTATGCAGCCAGAAGATTGCTTGATGTGATCGTTAGTTGGCTGGCTACTTGGAAATGAGAAACCAGGCCTGTCAGTGAGTTAAGAAGATTGGCATGTCATTAACCAACTCGACAAACTCGGCGTAAAGTGACCAGCTGCTTACAGTAATCAGTTGAGCGATGCACTACTTGTTTAAACTAGCTCGTGGAGGAAGAGTGCAATCTATCAGTGAATTAATCCATTCATGAACTATTGAGCCTTCTTTTTGATTAGTACACAAGTCTCACAGAATGCATGCAACAACACTCACTCCCGCAGGCACGGGCCTTCCATCTCGCCTCTGACCTCGTAGTGTCTTGCTTCTGTGTCTCTGTGTGTCTGTGTCTGTGTCTGCGTGTGTGTGTGTGTGTCTACGATGTCAAGGCCAACCCAGTTCATTCCCCCGCGATTTCAGCAATCGGTGATGGATTCTTAGCAGCAACCCCCACCCGCACTGTGCCGGACCAGCTCAAGTAGCCACGAGCTTGCCCAACGCTGACATACTTTGGCAGGCGCATAATTCTGCCCTTCAACCTCCAAACTTACAATATCTATGTCTACTGCCGACAATCACAGAACGGTGAAGTGCATACGACAGGCGGACAGAAATCTGCAGGACATCGCAACTTCAAGCGATTAAAATATTTCAGCCACGCTGAAGTTACATCTTGCCGAAAGGACAACGGCCAGTCACAATTTCGGGAGATGTGCTGGCATGTAATGGGAAATGCCTGACAGACGGGTGTGCCAGCAGGTCGGTCAATGTGAAATGCATTGATCGACCTTGCCCGGAATTGTAAATCTCGGCGTGGTCGCCGCAGATGCTCGCGATCCTTTTCTGGTCATTCTGTAGTCTCTTCCAACGTAAACTGCCTGAAACAAAGGATGTGGGGAACCCTGCTGAAGCCGTTGCCAGCCTTGTTGCCTTTGGCATTCCCGCTCGGCTTCTTGTCTGCTTTTCCCTGCCGCTTCCCCTTGTTGGGTTTGGGAAACAGCCTGGATAGTGTCCACACTGTTTCCCAAGCCCAACAAGAGGAAGGAAAGGTTTTTCGCTCTGCCTTGGTGGAGCGAGCTCCTCCGACCCAGCTGCCACTCCCACACGGCCATTCACCCAAAGTCTAATCCCGCCACCCACTGGCTGGCGGGATTGAAGTATGTAGACATGGCCGTGGAGTGGATGATGAGTGGCTTGCTCGCCCAGAAAGGCTGTCAGCAACTGCACCACACGGCAGCCATGACGAAGCTCTCTGCCGCGCGGAGCCAAGATGCTGGCTTCACACGCACCTAGAAGCGCACCGCAAAGCTAAAGATGGCAGTGCGTGAATGCCTATACATCCGAAGGCAGCACTTCAAACCCCATGATCCAGTCAGCTGGGAAATGGGAATCGCACGCCAGCTTGTGCCAATAGCATCGCGGCCCCCGCATCCTAAGCCAGTGTGGGAGCGGTCAGGAAATGAGGCCACTATGCCCTGCGAAGTCGAGCACTGTTTAAACTGAGGCCAATACGAGGGATCCTCGCTCCACGCATAAGCAGAAGCAAGAGAAAGGCCCCAACCTCGTATCAATCTGCGCCGGAGGTGGCTTCTTGTGGCTTCGTCAGATATTCAGCGGAGAGAAGAGCAACAAGGAGGCTTTGCATGGGTAAACACCGGGATCAAAGAAATACCAAAGGATCACGTCCGATGCAAGGACGGCACAAGGCTTTCTCCTGCAGGCTCCTACTGACAAAGGGTCTACAATCTACAACTTCAGAGGTCGGCTTCATGGCGAGTTGTGGCTCCACGCCGGCCTGACCGAAGAAAGTCTCACCATCACGAGTTCAGCACTGCTTTACAAGTCTTGTGTCTGTGCGACCGAAGCACTGTATGCAAACGTAACAAAACCTGCATCGGTTGCCACTCTCCCTGGCGGAGGAAACACCATGCAGCCTGTTCAGCCAAAGCAAGAGCCATGCTCGAAGCGCTCTGCTAGCACTTTCAGAGACACGCAGCGGGGCTGTCCGACCGCTAGGCTGCCAATAGTACGTGTCCTGGTGCTGGTGCTTGCATATGATTCGCAGGTCGCAGGCTTGAGCCTTGTAGCTCATTGACAAGCATACAATACCCATACCCATCCACATTGCAGATGCGAGCAACACAAATGTTGGCGCATGCAGCTCATCGACAAGCTGTCCAAACACGCAGTTTCAAGCTGTTGCTGCCCGAGCAAACACTTCTCCAAACAAGGCACTCGACACATTATCCAACTGAACTTGATGTGAGTCTGAAACAGCTACAAGGTCCGACTGCAACAAACAAAGCTGTCAATAATTGTAGCTTTCAGTGCCTTTTCGCCATGCTTCGGAACTTGCTTCATCGTTGGAGTTTAGCCTGCAAGCTTTGAAAGCTTGGCAGATTGTCGGGCGAGGTAGTCCACGGCAGTCTCGTGCTTGCTTTGGTTCACATGTGTCCAAGCCATGGCGAGACCACTCGCAAATCCTGCAATGAATTTAGCAGCTCCAAGTTTTGGGTTCAGGCTATATAGGCACTTTAGGGTTTAGGATACTTCTGGACTGGAGCTGGTGAAACCCGGGATGCTATGCCTTGCCACGTCAGTCTGGTGCTGACACCACCTGCTTGAGTTCGTCTTTTCTCCGCACTGACACAACTCATCCTACTGATACGCAGGACCATATCCAGCAGATGTCTGGAAATCAAAATCACATGATGCTGCCGAGCTTTCGGGAAGAAAGAACATCGGATGACGAAACTGCCTGTTTCTTCGCTCGTTCTCCCGTAATACCACAGCAGCTGGCAAGAGTATCCACTGCTAATTCCGCATGGTTGGGCCCAAGCCACGGAGCTCCGTTAGAAGAGCGTTCTGCGCTCGTTCCCTTCACGGCCAATGCCGGGACCAGTTTTGAGCTCAGATGTGCATGGCTCTTTCTGTGATACTTCGAATCGTGAGCTTCAAGACTGGCAGCCTGACAGGGCTTATAATGTAAGACATCAGCAGACCCACGACCAATCTGGCAGGAGACGGGATCGTGATCGACTTAGCTTTCGACGATTTTCGACGCGAGGGACGGCCGAAGCTCCTTCGACTTTGCTAGCGGCTAGCGGTGATAGGTCTGGCTGCTGTGACATTGGCTGGCGCAAACCAGCAAACTGGAGCGAATGGCAAGCGGGGGCCGCATAGGAGAACAGCCACAGTGTATGGCTCTTTCTGCAAGGCCATGCAAGGCTGCCACGATGCTATCTGAAGCTGCCCACTAACGACCTGGCTAGAACCCAGGTAATTTGTTGCAACTCCGTCCACCGCTGCCCCTGCCGCTTGCTTCTGCAGTACTGCTACATAATTCTACACATGGCCAGCGACTGATTTTTCCTTTCGCTTAGGAGCGAAGCCCCCCCCCATCTCTCAGTTGCCGGGCTCACGCTGGAGGGAAGAACACCTTCCCCAAACAAAGGAATCTGCTGAGTCGCTGCTCAAAACTGGCCACGGCTCGAGGATTGGGCCGGACCTTACGAAGCTGCACGCGCTGGAGCTGACTCTGCGCCGCCTGCACCAGGAAGATCTGAAGAAATAAGAAATCGTTCGGGTTGGCCGTGTTGCTGGGTATACCGAGCATGATCGAGGACACAACTGAGACATGCACGTGCGACAGACTTGGCACTGTTGAAGGCCGGCTCGTGCCTGTTGGTGAAGACGGCTGCCCTGCAGTGTTCGCTGCCACCGGCTCGGACACTGGCGCCTGAGCAGTGCTGCGCACTGCACTGCTGCAATCTCCCGGTCACGGTCTACACTGTAGACTCTACAGTTCACTTGCTCGCCTGAGCCTGGATACCGTCTAGAAAAGGCAACTGCCAAGGTCGAAGCCTTTGCTGCGGCCTTGGGCATGGCACCTGGGGGGAAGCTGACGCTCTTCACACCCATCCTTCTCACAGAAACACCTCTCAGTCTCAGTGCGACTACGCCTGCTACAGCACCATGCAGAGCTGCAAACGCCAACAGTGTCGCTGGGGGATAGAAGGTGTGGAGCAAGCATCATGCTAGAACGACGGAAACCTACTTCGGCAGACTGAAGGGATTCCAGACAACCGTAGTCCAATGCAGACTAACATAGCAAGCGAATGGATAAACATTGAGCCAGAGAAAAGTCACACAAGCAGCGATTAAGTGTCTTGTGTCGCACTGTGGTCCACTCTGTCGGATTATTATAAACTTCTGCGCACCAAGCCCGACTATAAAACGGACCACCGTGCCCTCTTGCAAAATAGTCCATGTTTATTAACGTAGTGAATCGGCTTCTGACACGTCAGTTGTCTTAAGCAGAACGCCTCGCTACGTTGCCCTGGCCTGTGCCCTTGGCTGCCGGTGCGAGGAGCTCCTGCAGCTGGAGCGCGAACTGCTTCTGCACAGAGGCGGCAGCGCCTTGATAGGACGGATGAATGTTACAAGCAGTGCCAGAACCGACTGTCAGAAGCTGCATCGTGGAGGCCCCTCTGGGTGCCCTGGCTGCCCACGGCAGGAGGTGCGGCCTGCTTCATGAATCAAGCAAGCAGATCCGCGGCACCATTTACAGCCTCTGTACGCTTCTGCGTCACTCGGGCGGGAAGTTCCGCGAAACACAGCGACTCCAGTCTTGCCGCGGTATAACATCGCATTCTGCAGAGTGTCGCCCCTTCTCGACCAAGTGACCAAGTGCTACCGTACCGTGATGCTCCCATGCTTTGGTTTACGCTTACACGAGGCTGGCAGGTCGAACACGCGGCGCGCACAGTTTCTATATGTTTCTATCGCGTTCTTCTCCACAAGGGGCACGGGCCTTAGCTGCTGTCGCCAGCTCGGCACTGAGGGCTGCAAGCACCTCACTCGCACCTCCGGAGGCACATCAACTGCAGCTATTATGTGTCCTATGTCGCAACATGTCTCTCACGTCCGGCTTCAGCTTCCGCTTTCCACAGGTGCGCCTGGTGTTGCAGCACCTTCCTGGGCCCAGGCAAGCTCTAAGTGAACGGAATCTGAAGCATTGAGACAATATGCCTGTGAGTACTTGCTTGATTCCCTTACACCATCTTACACCCCTGTGGCAAGGCTTCAAGTCAAAATCCAATGGAAACGAAGCCACCATTGCAACACAGTGCATCTTCAAGTCAGCTCATTGTTGCAAATGTCAGACTACTGGCAGCAGATGAACGGATCTGATCGGCATGGCGCCTTGTTCGGAGGCCACGTCACGGCCCAGTCGGGGCGCTCGGGAGAGAGCCTCTACAGGATTCATTGGGTGCTTAGGGTGCTTGTGATTGGCACAACCGCCGTTTCCGCGGCTTCTGTGCAGACATAGAACCAGCTTATGGACGCATCCTGAAACGAATTCCGGCAGGGGCTGTGTCGCCACTCGTGCCACTCGGCCCTTGTGAGCACGGAGCCAAGCGCTCCGCCGATGAATTGGGGAACCATTCAATTAGGGGAAGGCTTTGTCACCCCTTTGCCTCTTCAAGACCCGTGGCTGCAGCAATGATTTCGTCATGCCAGCAAGCAGCTAGCACATGCTAGCACTACCCTGAATGACGTCAGGCGAGCACTACAGGAGAGCTGCAGCTCTCAGCAGATCCAGTGATATAGGTGACGCACCTGGCTACGGCTTTAGCACACCTCTCTCTTTACCAGCTTTAGCACACCTCTCTCTTTACCAGCCCCAGTACTCGTAGCTCCAGGAGTAATTCCATGGTAATTTCCCTTGCCGCCCTTGTACCCCGGTCGCCGGCTTCTTGCTGGCGTTGTCCTTTCCGTTCCTTTGTTCGCTGTTCGGGGAAGTTCTGTTGAGGGGAGGCTTTGTCACCCCAAGTGGCAACGATCACTGAGTCATTCACAAAAAGTCATGCAAGTGACACAGCTTGCTGCAGGCCTCAGTTCCAGTTCCCCCACTCGTTTTTGCCTTTGTCGTCCCTGCCATTCCCCTCCGACTCCGACACTTCGGCCCATGCAGGAGGCACAAGAGCAAATGTGGGGCGAACAGATGGTGGATCTGCAGCCGGTGCAGGGCGGCCACAGGGTGTTTAGGGGCCGGGGGTTGACGGGTGGGTGCACTTCTCCAGACGTGGTGCCAAATTTGCTGGAGTTGTGCACGTTATGCTGGCAACACGTTCACAAACTGAAGCCACCACTTTGCGGCGGTGTGAGAACCTCGCAACAGTTGCAGCCATACGATAGCCAGACGTGGCCTGCTCGCCGATAAGGGCAGAGGCCAACTGTAAGTCTAGCCGTAGTTCATCTCCAATCGATCGTGGGTCACACAAACACACAGCATGCACTGGCATGACGATTTCAAGAATGAGCAACAGCGCAACCTCTGCTACTCGTCAGGGCCTTAACCGACAAGGGCTCGGTCGTCGATTCCAGGTATCGCCGCGCTTCTCACCGGCAGCGGATGCTGCCCTGCGCTGGTTGCCTGCTAGCAAATGGCGGATTCGAGCTGGAAACCTTCCCCAAGATCTCAGCTTGCACCAAGAGATATGCACGCAGAAGGATATAGCAGACCCTGCCTGAACCCCGCCGACCAGCACGGGCGACCGCGGCCGTGCGCCCAGCAGAGGACGGCCGTGAAGCCTAGCAGAAGAGAAAAATCTGTCGGAAGATCTCACGAAGGTGGGATTCTGAGATGGATGTGCATCCGCCACTTGGTCCAAGCTGGAAACTGCGTCGCTCACGGCCGTGCTCGGCACCTGAAATAACCGGATCCTCCAATTCTGTTCTTCGGATTTGGAACGAGAAAATCGAGAGTGAATGCTCGGGCCGCGGCAGAGCCCCACAACATGCGCCACCTCTGCAGCTCAGAGCGAAGGGAGGTCGCCATGGCCTGGTCCAAAGCTGCCAAGACTACTTAAAGCCGTGATTCGCCGCCGCCTCTGCGTGCCCCTTCTCCTCCAAGAGGCGACTGCGCTGCGTGTCGAGCTGGGCACAAGGGCACAAGGGTGTGCGAGGTGCACTACAGTACTACAGACTACAATCACAACATCCTTCACCACCGCAGATATGTTCCGGGCCTCCCCAAGCCATGGCAAGAGCTGAGCCACGACAGCCTTGCGAGACTAAGAGGCGGCAAAAGGACTTGGAGTGCACGTTTAGCCAAGCAAGGCAAGCCTGCAGCTCTGCGAAGGAGCGGGCAACATCTGCCTTTAATACATGACTGGAGAAGGTGACGAAAGCCTCTTATGACATGGCCGGAAACAACCGCCTGCTGGTTCTCCAACTCCGCCCTTCTTTCTCTCTCCGCCGCATGCTGTCTGCACTCTTCCTTTGGCAGCATAGCGAACTCGGGCAATTTCAGACGACTTGTAAGCTTCGCTGGTGCATCCCTCTCCAGTCCTCCAGTCGAGAGCAATTTGCCTGAGGTTGCCCCGGCATTCCCACATGTCAAACGTCGCTTCCCCGCCGACTTGCCCTGGGTCTGTTGCTTGGCTCTCGGTGAGTTGCTCTTCCAGGCGCTGGCGCTCCGAGGCCATGGCCTGCAGAGGCACGTAGGCACGTGGCATGGAGCTCAAGAGTCTATGTTTCAGCTGAGTGTGTCGGCATAGCGATGTTGGAGAGGGGTAAGTGCAGCGCAGCCACGGATGCTGGTGGTGGCGGTCGTCGACGTCGTTGTCGTCGTCATAGCTGTGGTCGTGGTCGTGCTTCAGAACCCAGAGCTCATGCTTTCCCAGGTCCTTGGTCCAGGAAAGGTCCGGGAGACCCGCTCGAACTTCCCCTTCCGCCGCGCCTGGAACACCGGACCCCCTTCGGGGCCAAAGGCTCCCTTTGAGTGGTCCGGTGCAATGCCGGGCAACTCGGAGAGCAGCATGGCTGGGATCTTGTCCCTGTTGGTCTTGTCGCGGAGGTCTTCACATCGATCTCCCCCAGTTCACAAAGAGCGTTCTCCGGCAGGAAGGCGTTGCTCTCGAAGGCCTTGGTGTCACGTCGATCTTGGGGGCCAGGATGTGCACCCTCCTCCTGGGGTTTGTTGTTCGCAGCGCGTCCAGCACCGCAGCTGTCTCTGCCGGGGCGGGAGGGAGGGGAGGAGGGGAGGACTGACAAAATTCCGGAACAGCAGCATTCGCTCGCCATGTCGACAGGCACGGGCTCGCGATTTGATGGCACTTGTCTGCCCCCCGCACCCATGCCCCAAAGCAGTGCGGGCACATCTTGTCGTCCAGGTCTGGCCTCCGATGCCATGGCGGCCCACTGCAGCGGGTGTCTTGAGAAGGGCATTGTGCTAGGCGATGTGGTAGGTCTCAAAAACCACGCCGCTCTGGGTGAGCTCCTTGCCGCGCGGAACTGCAAGAAACGCCCCACCATCTCGTCCCGGGACATGGTGCGGATGTAGGACTGCATGTGGAGTCCGACGGTGCCGGGAAGCATGCCCTGCACCACGAGGACGTCCGTCCGCTCCTTTGTCGGTGGTGCACATGGTCGGGCCGCCTGTCTCGTCGCGGTCTTCCCGGTCACAAATCCAGCCAGGGGACGGCTCGGGGCC